CTTACGACAACGACGACGACGACGACGGAAACGAGGCGCGCAGACGATCCGCACCGAAGCACGGATTTGGGAAAGGGCCCACCCTGCAGGGCCGGTTAAACAGCCCATTGTTGAGCGGTGCTGCAGTCTCCTCTGAGCACAGGCCCCCCCAGAGCATCAGCCAGACAAGTCGGGTTTGCACCCTCATGCCTTGCTTGACTCTGGGCGCGTTTCGGCACCCTCTCCCCCAACCTCGTCAGGGCCACCGACAAGGGAGAGGGCGGCGGTGGCCGACGCGTCCCTGAGCTAAGAAGATCAAAGCGCCGCGGCTCAGAGAGTCAGGAAGACAGACAGACAAACGAACGGACGGACAAGCGGACAGCCAGGCGGCGTGCAATGCCTGGCAATCCAAGTGAGTGGTCACTGCAGAAGGGAAACAAGGCCTGAGCAGAGCAACACGCACCACGACCCCGACGACGCCGACGACAACGACGACGACGACGACGTAGACGAGGCGCGCAGACGATCCGCACCGAAGCTCGGATTTTGGAAAGGGCCCACCCTGCAGGTCTGGTCAAACAGCCCATTGTTGAGCGGTGCTGTAGCCTCCCCTGAGCACAGGCCCCCCCAGAGCATCAGCCGGACAAGTCGGGTTTGCACCCTCATGCCTTGCTGTACTCTGGGCGCGTTTCGGCACCCTCTCCCCCAACCTCGTCAGGGCCACCGACAAGGGAGAGGGCGGCGGTGGCCGACGCGTCCCTGAGCTAAGAAGCTCAGAGCGCCGCAGCTCAGAGAGCCGGGAAGACAGACAGACAAACGAACGGACGGACAAACGGACAGCCAGGCGGCGTGCAATGCCTGGCAATCCAAATGGCGGGACCGCATGCGGGCTGCACCACTGATGCTTTCGGTGCAGCTCCCTCTGTTGGCCACGAGACGTGTGAGGGATGGGCCAGAGCTGATGGCGATGATGGTGATGATGACGGCGATGAAGATGACGGTGATGGTGATGATGACAGCGATGCTGCTGATGATGATGCTGATGATGATGAGTATACGTGTGATTATGAATGTGGCAACGTGTATGAGTATGCTTATGAGTACGATTATGCGTATAAGTATGAGTACGGGTATAAGTATGCGTATGACGATCATGTGATTAAAAGTTGTGGTTCTAGAGCTTGAAATGATGGTGATGAATGGAGGGGCGCTGGCTCAATTAGCTGATTCTTCTTCTTTCTTTCTTCTTCTATTCTTCTTAACAGGACTGACGATGACGATGATTTGGTGGTGGTATGGATGGGATGCTTCTGCTGCTGATGATGCTATTTTGGATGATTATGTTTACTTGACTGCCTGATGAAAATGACACGACGGCGATGATTAATCATAAAGTGATGATGATGCTGATGATGATTATAAGGGTGATCATGATGATGCCGATAACGATGCTGATGCCGATCATGATGATACTGATGACGATAGAACTGCAGTAATGATGCCGATGATGGTGATGTTTTTGATTATGTTGATCAGGATGATGATGAGGTCGAGGATGAGGATGATGATGAGGATTCTGATGATGCTGACGATGATGATGACGACGATGGTGCTGATGCTGATGATGATGTGGCTGCTTATGATGATGAGGGCGATACTGCTGCTGATGATGATGACGATGATGATGATGCTGATGATGATGATGCTGATGCCGATACTGATGATGATGCTGCTGATGATGCTGATGATGCTGCTGTTTCTGATTATGATGCTGATGGTGATGGTGGTGATCATGATGATGATGCTGATGATGCTGCTGATGCTGATGATGCTGATGCTGATGATGATGCTGCTGCTGCTGATGAGGATGATGATGATGATGCTGATGATGATGATGATGCTCATGATGACGCTGATGAGGTTGATGAGACTGATGGGAGGAGGGAGGAGGGGCAGCGGGAGCTGGAGGAGGAGGAGGAGGAGGAGGAGGATGAGGAGAAGCACGCGGGGCGCTATCTACGAGGACCCATCTCCACGGGATGGTAGGGAAATTATCGTGGCGAAAGACATGCAGTTGTGAGTACATTGTTGTGGCACCGCTTTCGGTGGAGCTCCCTATGGGGCCTTCGGTGGAGCTCCCTATGTGGCCGCGAAGTGTGTGTGTGTGTGTGTTTTGTGTGTGTGGTGTGAGGAGTGTGCCGAGATGGGCGGGGAACCGCATTCTAACTTTGCCATTGGGACCTTCGGTGGAGCTCCCCATTGGGCCACGAAGCGTGGCATGAGAACTTTGCCACTTGGGCCTTCGGTGGGCTCCCCATGGGGCCACGCAACATGTGAGGGGTGTGCCGAAATGGGTGGGGAACCGCATGCGGGCTGCGCCACTGTGGCCTTTGGTGGAGTTCCCCATGAGGCCGCGAAACGCGTAAGGATTGTGCCAGAACAGGCGGTGAACCGCATGCGAACTTTGCCACTGGGGCCTTCGGTGGAGCTCCCTACGGGGCCACACAATATGTGGTGTGTGTGTGTGTGTGTGTATGTGTGTGCCCCTGGCCGCGTGAGGCCCCGCCCGCTCCCGCCCTTTCTCTGCCAGTTTAAGCTATGCGCGTCCCGCGTAGCTTTCAGCGGAAGAGGTCCGCTCTCGCCCTGCAGATCAAAAAGTGTGTGTGTGTGTGAGAGAGAGTGTGTGTGTGTGTGTGTGTGTGTGTGTGTGTGTGTGTGAGTGTGTGTGTGTGTGTGTGCGTGCCGAAGTAGGTGGGAAACCGCATGCGAACTTTGCCACTTGGGCCTTGGGGGGAGCTCCTTATGGGTCCATGAAGCGTGTGAGGTGTGTGCCGAAATGGGTGGGGAACCGCATGCAATTTTCTGCCACTGGGGCCTTCGGTGGAGCTCCCTATGGGGCCATGAAACGTGTGAAAGGTGTGCCGTAGTAGATATACGGAGAGCAGAGGCAGGGATTTGAGGAGGGAGGAGGGAGGAGGGGTAGGAGAAGAAGAGGAGACGCGGGGCGCTGTCTCTTCAAAACCAGGACCCAACACCACAGCATGGATGGGAAAAAAGGGGGTGATGACTAGGGAAGGGTAGATACCATGGCGGGCACGTCCCCTGGTCCCCCTTTCGTCCGCGCACCTGCCTCGGCCCATGTTTTGCGAGTCCCCCTCTTGGACGCCCCTGAGTTTGGTTTCGCGCCAGCGCGGTGGCGACATTGTTTTTTTTGTGGGGGTGCACGGCAGGACGCTGACGGTGTCGCCACGCTCGCCTCTCTGAGTTCCACCGTCGCTGTTCCACGAGGCAGGAAGAGGAGGAAGAGGACGGCGGAATGACGAGGGAGGGAGGGAGGGAGGGAGGGAGGAGGGAGGAGGAGGGAGGAGGAGGAAGGAGAGACGAGGGGTGAAGGAAAGCGGATGCATCAGGAGGAGTAGGAGGAGGGTCTCTTGCGGGCCGGCGGCAACGTCGACGTCATCTCCTCGGAGGAGGTCTCGCCAGACCCGTGCCGAGCGCAGGCGACGACGATCGACGACCGACGCCGATGCCGACGCCGACGCGCCGCCGCCGCCGCCGCAGCCGCCGACGACGACGACGACGCCGACGACGGCGGCGACGACGACGACGACGACGATAGCGACGCTGGCGGTGGCGGCGGCGGCGACGATAACTACCAAGACGACGACCTGGGGTGCCCGACGTCTGCGGGGGGGTCCAGAGCTTACTAGAGACCCCTGGAAGCCCCCTCAAGGTCTCTTGGCGCCCTCTGACAGGCCACAGAAACAGAGAAACCAGCAGAAAGTTTCGATTCTCCATCGAAGGCGCTTGCTTGCCGAGACCGCCCCGTGCAAGGAACAGGCTGTGGGAGGAGGAGAGTGAGTGAGGGAGGGAGGGAGGGTTTTTGGATTGCGCGGTCGCTGAAGCCGAGGCCTGTCGACAGTGGGCGGTGCTACAACTAGCAGAACATCTAGTCAGACAAAAAATTCTGCACGGGCACCAAGTAGATAAGTGCACTACAGTACGCTGGGACCCCCGCGACAGAGCGGACGGAACGCGTTGAACCGAAGCAAGGAGTCCAGACCCTCCCAAACCTCATCCTCACTGCTGTCCCCCGGAATAGGTGACTTGACGGCAAACGCTAAAGGCGGCGACAAATGATGACGTGCTGTGCCTCGTCCAGGGCACTCGGGGGGCAGGGATGGAGGGAGGGACGGATAATAATAGGCCGGGGAGGAAGAGTAAGACTGGGCCACAGTACCCGAAACTCCAGCTCGGAAGAGCCTGCGCGACGGGTGACGGGACGCGCCGCAGCCGCCTTGGCCAGGTAGAAAGCAGCGAAACAGAACGCGGACGGTCCTGGTCTGCTGCTCTCAGCGTGACCCTGGTCACCAGTGCAGCAATCGATCGACGATGCACAATGCACCTGTGAAGGCGGAGGCATCTTCGCAAACGCGCAGCACACACAGAGATGCACAGCAGCACGATTATCTACACGCCATCGTCGGAGGCTGTGCCGAGCAGACTAGAGTCAGGAGGGAAAGAAACACACAGACCCAATTAATCGTCGACTCCCAGGAAAATATAGGAAAATATGGGAAGTGGGGGGGAAGACAGAAACCCAGAACATATGGGAAAATACGGGGGATCTTTTTATTTGTGTGTATTTATTTTGTGTGTCCTGGGGCTCCTTTATAGAGGGGGCACTGGAGGAGCCTTTAGGTTTCTACAGAGCCCCGCGAGGCGGGCCCAGCGCGGCCCGCCGCCCTGCGGCCTCATCCGCCAGGCGCCGCGGCTCGCACGCCCGGGGCCGGTAGTCCTGCACCAGCGAGGAGCATGGGCCCGCCTTCTCCATGCAGGACGGCATGGACTCCATCCTGGACAGGCTCTGCGCAAGGAGGCGGACTGCTGCGTCCGCCGCCCGGATGTCCGTGACAGGCCTCACGATCTGCGCCTTCTGCTTTTTTTTATTATTAAAAAAAACGATCTGCGCCTTCTGCATCGCCGACCGCCGAGGCGAAGCAGCCTCAGGCGGAGCAGCCTGTGGGGCCGCGTCGGCAGGATCGGCTCGCAGGGCATCGGCCTGCGCCTGCGCCTGCCAGCGGCGGTGCGTCCGGAGGCGCGGCCGGCGGACGCACCGCGTCGGTAATCTCACCTTGGCGCAGCTCTGGAACGGGCTCGAAGGGCGCAGCGGGCGCCGTCACTGCATCCGCGGAAGCCGCGGCGACCACCTCGTCGAGCGCCTCGTCGACGCGCGGCTGGCCCCCTCCGGCACCACGCGGGTACGCGAAGTCCTCGGAGTCGACCGTGGAGCACGAGTCGCTCTCACCGGACTCGACTTCCTGCTGCTCCTCCTGGAAATCAGGCTGCGCGGCCTGCGGGGCCGCGGAGCCGGGGAGCGGATCGCCCGGATCGCCGGCGGCACACGGCGCCTCGGCGGCAGCAGCACCAGCAGGTAGAGGAACACCAGCACGGACAGGAGGACCCTTTCCAGCCAGGGAGACCTGTCCACGATCTCGTCGTCGTCGTCGTCGCCGTCGTCGTCGACCAGTCTGTGCACAAGGACGGTGCGCGGCGTGGGCAGCTCGCGCCACCGTGGCCATGTCCCGGCAACGAGCGGGGCGGTGGTGGCGTGCGGCCCAGCCCAGCCGGCGGAGTGCCGGCTGGACCTCGTCCAAGGCTGTGGCGCGGCTGCCCGCACACGCCTGAGCGCAGGCGGGGACGGCGCGCATAAGGCTCGGCCGGGCAGCAGGCTGGAGCCCAAATAGGTACAGCCTGAAGCCCCCGCCGGGCGAGCCTTGGGAGGGAGGGAGGGAGGGAGGAGGAGGAGGAGGAACGAGGAGGAAGGAGGAGGAGGAGGAGGAGGAGGAGGAGGAGGAGGAGGAGGAGGAGGAGGAGGAGGAGGAGGAGGAGGAGGAGGAGGAGGGAGGAGGAGTACAGCACCGCGAAGTTTTGGCCGGCACCGCGGGCGGCGCCGCTCGAGCCCCTCGCAGGCGGAGGCGCGCGCCCGTGGAGCAGTGCCGCGCCGCGGGGGCGAAGTGCCGCCGCCCGAGGGCCGGGCAGCTCCCGCGCAGACAGGCGCCGCCGTCGTCGTCGTCGTCGTCGCCGTCGTCGTCGTCGTCGTCGTCGTTGTGGACGTCGTCGTGTTCGTGTCTTCCGTCGTCCGTCGTCCGTCGCAGCCTCGTCTGCACTCCGTCCATGGGCGCTGGCTCGTTCGTTCGGGGCCGCCTGGGCTGGGGTTTGGGCCAGGCGCTCGGGAGCGCTCGGGAGTGCTCGGAAGCGCTCGGGGGCGCTCCGGGCCTCGCGTCGTCTGGAAGTCCAAATTCCCCGGGCCTCTTGCTTTGAGGCATCGCAGTATCGCTGACACAGCCTGGGTTCACTCTGGCCCTTCTCCTTCTTCTCCTCCTCCTCCTCCTCCTCCTCCTCCTCCTCCTCTTCTGCTCCTTCCCCTTTCTCCCCTCAGAAGTGCAACTCCTGGACCTGCCCTGGAATTCGCTTCGGCCAGGATCTCGAGCGGGATCCAGCCGTGGCGACGGGGGCGCCCCACGAGTTCCAGAAAGGCCCCCAACGCGCAGCAGAAGGCTCAAGACAGCTCTACGGCATCACGCCGGGGGGCCACGGGGGGCTACCAGTTTTGGGGTACTGGGCTTCCGCCCAGCGCGTTGGAAGCGTTGTCCAGAAACCTTCCAGACAAGCCGCTTCGGCAAAAACCTCGACTCCTCGTCGACGACTTCGACGGCGACGGCGCTGGCGACGCCGATGACGACGGCGACGTCGACGGCGTCGCCGACGCCACCAATGGTGACACGGCGCCACGGCGACGACGACAACGACGACTACGACGGCGAGGACGGACGACGGCGACGACGACGACGACCTCGGCGTCGACGACGACAACGACGACGACGACGGCGATGACAGACGACGACGATGACGACGACGACGGACGACGATGACGACAACGGACGACGACGACGACGACGACGACAACAGCGATGACGGACGACAACGACGACGATGATGACGGACGATGACGACGACGAGGACCACGACGACGACCACAAAGATGATGATGACGACGACGACGGCGATGACAGACGACGACGATGACGACGACGACGGACGACGATGACGACGACGGACGACGACGACGACGATGACGACGACGACGACGACAGCGATGACGGACGACGAGGACCACGATGACGACGGACGATGACGACGACGAGGATCACGACGACGACCACAAAGACGACGACGACGACGACGGCGCCGACGACGACGACGATAATGACGACGATGGCGATGACCGACGACGACGACGACGATGACGGACGACGACGACGACGCTGCCGCCGACATCGACGCCAACGACGACGATGACGATAACGGACAACGACGACCACGACGACGACTGCGACGACGACGTTGACGACGACGGACGACGTCGAAAACGACGGCGACGACGATAACGATGACGTACGACGGCGATGACGACGACAACGATGGCGGCGACGACGACGACGGAGGACGACGACCACGACGACAACGACGAAGGCGATGACCGACGACGACGACGACCACGGCGACCACGACGACGCACGACGACGACGATGACGATGGCGACGGACAGCGTCGGCGATGACGGACGACGACGATGACGACGCCGACGACGGGGATGACGGATGACAACGACGACGACGACGGCGATGACGGACGACCGCGTTGTCGCCGCCGACGACGATAATGACGACGACGATGATGGACGACGATGGCGACAACAACGACGCCGAAGGAGGACGACGACGACGACGGCGATGACAGACGACGACGATGACGACGATGACTACGATGACGACGATGGACGAAGACGATGACGACGACGACGACGGCGATGGTGGACGACGACGACGGCAACGACGAACGACGACGACGCAGGCGATCACGACGTCGACGGACGACGGACGACAGACAATGGACGAAGGACGACGGACGACCACGGACGATGCTGGACGACGACGATTTCGTTGATGATGATGACGACGACGATGAAAGTGACGTCCATGGCCGACGTCGAAAGCTGGTGGCGGTTATTCCCAGGCGAGCTCGCGCGGGCGGGCTACCTGCAGTCGCCCATCGAGCGGGGCGCGAGCGTGCTGAGCAGCTCGCTGCGGGATTTCCGCGCTGCCAGCTCCGAGCGGGGAGGATTCATGGCAGAATGCGCGACGTGCATGAGAGAGCTCGTGGGTAGGTGTGGTCTGTGAGTATAGTTTGTCTGCTAGCTAGTCTAGCTACATTCGAACCGTAACTCCAGTCCAAGTCCAGGGAAGGAGAGTGGAGGGAGGAGAGAGGAGAGAGGGGGGAGGAGGGAGGGAGTTGGAGCCAGCTGGGGGGCCGAGGTGGCCCAGCACTGGCTAGAGCCTGCAGCAGTGGGTGAGAAAGGGGCCCCTTCGTTGCGGCAGCTGGGCGCGGCTCGCAAACCTTGTCAGCTTCCACCGCGGAGGAGGAGGAGGAGTAGGAGGAGGAGGAGGAGGAGGAGGAGAAGGAGGAGGAGGGGAACCGATTTTGAGCGGATTTGCCCTCGCCTCCCTCCCTCTTGGCTTGTTTTTGTCGGGGCCCACCCAGCGCAGTCGCCGCCGCCGCTTCCAAAGGGAGAGATTCTGCGGAGGAGGGCAGGGATGGGCGGGCAGTTCTTCCAGGGCGGCGAGATCACAGCTCCTGCAGCAGTTTCGCGAGCAGGAGGGTTACCTGTGGACATCTTTCCGAAGCCACGCGCGAGGGAGGGAGGAGGGATGGAGGGCAGAGGGAGGGGGGCGCCCGACGGGTGGATCGCCGAGGGTCACCCCCGCAGGGGCGCGAGGATAATCGCGCTTTGCGCGCTGCGGTCTGCACTGGAGATCTGCCCTTCTCTGGGAGGGGCGGCGCGAGAACGCGAGGGCGTGAAGTGAACCGCGCGTCGCGCATCGCGGGGTGCAATGCGCAAAATTAGGCGGTCCAGATCGCCTTCCGCCTCCTGCCTCCCGCCTCCCGCCTCCCGCCCCTCCTCCTTCTTGTCTCCTCTTGCTTTGCCTGGGGTGCTGCGATCTTCGAAACTGTCGCCACTTTCAAGGCCGCTGGTGGGTCCAGCGGGGTGAGGCACCGCGCGGATCTGAGCGAGACCTCCCCGTCCCTGGGGGGCTGCGATCTGCGAAGCCGTCGCCACTTTCGAGGGCTGCTGGTGGGTCCAGCGGGGTGAGGCACCGCGCGGATCTGAGCGAGACCTCCCCGTCCCTGGGGGGCTGCGATCTGCGAAGCCGTCGCCACTTTCGAGGGCTGCTGGTGGGTCCAGCGGGGTGAGGCACCGCGCGGATCTGAGCGAGACCTCCCCGTCCCTGGGGGGCTGCGATCTGCGAAGCCGTCGCCACTTTCGAGGGCTGCTGGTGGGTCCAGCGGGGTGAGGCACCGCGCGGATCTGAGCGAGACCTCCCCGTCCCTGGGGGGCTGCGATCTGCGAAGCCGTCGCCACTTTCGAGGGCTGCTGGTGGGTCCAGCGGGGTGAGGCACCGCGCGGATATGAGCGAGACCTCCCCGTCCCTGGGGGGCTGCGATCTGCGAAGCCGTCGCCACTTTCGAGGGCTGCTGGTGGGTCCAGCGGAGTGAGGCACCGCGCGGATCTGAGCAAGACCTCCCCGTCCTTGGGGGGCTGCGATCTGCGAAGCCATCGCCACTTTCGAGGGCTGCTGGTGGGTCCAGCGGGGTCAGGCACCGCGCGGATATGAGCGAGACCTCCCTGTCCCTGGGGGGCTGCGATCTGCGAAGCCGTCGCCGCTTTCGAGGGCTGCTGGTGGGTCCGGCGGAGTGAAACACCGCGCGGATCTGAGCGAGACCTCCCCGTCCCTGGGGGCTGCGATCTGCGGAGCCGTCGCCACTTTCGAGGACTGCTGGTGGGTCCAGCGGAGTGAGACACCGCGCGGATCTGTGCGAGACCTCCCCGTCCCTGGGGGGCTGCGATCTGCGAAACCGTCGCCGCTTTTGAGGGCTGCTGGTGGGTCCAGCGGGGTGCGACCCATTCGCGACCCACCCCGCGACCCGCCCAAAGTTTTCGGCGCTTGCGGCGGGCTTCTTTTGCATTCGTTCCAGGTGGAGAACCTGCGACCCATCCGCGACCCAAACTACGTTGGGTGGCGGGTGGGTCGCGGAGGAGCAGGAGGAGGAGGAGGAGGAGGAGGAGGAGGAGGAGGAGGAGGAGGAGGAGGAGGAGGAGGAGGAAGAGGAGGAGAAGGAGGGCGCCATCGACAGGGAAGGTGAGGGCCACGAGGTCCGCCAGCTCGACGCCCGCGTCGCCCGCGCCCGCCCCCTCACTCTTATCCGCAACTGCGGGGTATCCGCAATTGCG